CTTATTCATTAGCTACTAATACGTATTCAAAAGAATATCTAAAGAATAAGCACTAGTATCTAAAGAATAGGCACTAGTACTAAAGAATAAGCACTAGTCGCTAATGAATAAGTACCAGTACTTAATGGAATAGATACTAGTATCTAAAAATAAGTACTAGTAGCATGAAAATAGAGACTAGTAGGTTAAAATGATTAAATGTTAAAGCGGCTTGCCATATTGGCTCAGAGAGAGAGAGAGAGAAAATGACCCTATTCAAACCACAATATCTGACTTTCTGAGGGTCGGAGCTAATTACTTTAAATTAGAAAGTTGTTTGGCTTGAGGAGAAGAATATACACGCTGAGTTTTGTAACTGTAGATAAAACTAACCCCCCCACTTTTGTCAAAAGCATTTAGAAAGTGACACACTTCCTGCTGCCAGTTGGTGGCGCTATAACTTTGACTCACAATAGTCACATCCATGTGATCGGCCTCTTACAGCGAACATACTGTTGAAGTTTCATCAAGATCAGTTAATGTATGCAGAAGTTATAACACACTTCCTGTTTCCATTATTCGCCATAAATTTGTTTCCTCGCCACGGCCAAACCGTTCGAGATATGAAAAATCCCCTGGCAATTTTTCATCCTCAATGTCTTGACATCATGCTGACCGAGTTTCCTTGCGATTGGTTGAATTCTCTAGGAGGAGTATATCGAATTCCAGGGGCATACGCTTCCAAACAAACCATAATAGCCGACTTCCTGTTGGGCTGGGGTAAAAAGTAAAAGTACAAAGGATATATGAACCGATGAGATCTATATGTGTACCGAGTTTCATATTATTACATGGAAGCGTGTTTGATTTATGGACCAAGTTTTCGGACCCCGTTCCAGGGGGCGCTGTCGAGCCCCCCTGCCACGCCCGGGTACCAGCTTCAGCCCGGCCCTGATGGCCGCGGGTTCTGACCAGTGTGCAAAGTTTCAAGAGTTTTCGTGCACGTTAAGAGCCCCAAAAGTGCCCGAATAGTCGATAAAATAATAATAATAATAATAATAATAATAATAATAATAATAATCCTAAGGAAAACAATAGGGCCTTCGCCTTTTCAAGGCTTGGGCCCTAAAAATAATCCTAAGGAAAACAATAGGGCCTTCGCCTTTTCAAGGCTTGGGCCCTAATAATAATCCTAAGGAAAACAATAGGGCCTTCGCCTTTTCAAGGCTTGGGCCCTAATAATAATCCTTAGGAAAACAATAGGGCCTTCGCCTTTTCAAGGCTTGGGCCCTAAATATATATATATATATATATAAATAAATATAGCTGCGAGCAGCGATTACGGGCCCAAGCCGGTGGCACCGCAACCCCGGTGCCTTTAGTTACCTAAAGGCACCGGGGTGGCGGTACCACCGGCTTTGGCCCTTCATCGCTGCTCGCAGCTATATTTATTTATATATATATATATATATATATATATATATATATATAAAGCCGGTGGCACCGCCACCCTGGTGCCTTTAGGGTTATTGTGCACGACGTGCAAAAACGTAACCCTGCTTTGACTGTCGAAAAGAAGTGTGCTGTAGAGCTTGTATCAGTGTGGGCTCTGCAAAAGTGTGCATTGAGGGCACATGTCAACCACAAAGTATGCGAGAGCAACCTTCTGAAAGGTCAGGTCTACATCCAGGTCTACATCTGCCGTGTGTTTACATCATAGTAGTGAAGTTTGAAGCAATCAGGTGATTTCAAAGCTTTTTGAAAGTGACAGACTTCCTGCTGCCAGTTGGTGGCGCTATAACCGGGGTGGCGGTGCCGCCGGCTTTGGCCCTTTCACGCTGCTCGCAGCTATATTTATATATATATATATACACACACACACACACATATATATATATATATATATATATATATATATATATATATATATATATACATAAATATATATATATTGTTTTTTTAAGAGACAAGACAGAATATTACTTGCCTGATCTGATTAGAAAAATAGTGTTTGTGTGTGTGTGTGTGTGTGTGTGTGTGTGTGTGTGTGTGGCGTAATTGAACAATGTAGACATAAAGACATACTCCGTCCTTTTGTTCATACAGGACATTATTCAAACTGCAAAGTGTTTACTTATATTTGTGTACACTCGCAATAAAACACAACATTGTGCTTTTGTCAAACTATAAACTCTTGTCAAACTGTAAACTACAACTGTCACCCAACCAAAATCTCTTACACACACACACACACACACACAGTTTAAAAGCAAAAAATATCAAACAATCCTATTTAAAAACAGTCTGTGGGAGCCATCTTTTGGACATTCATCATATCGCATTGGTTTTCATTTCTTGTCATCAAACAGAGCCCTAATCTGTTTATTTTTTCAGTTACACATTCTACATTGATTAAAAAAGAAAAATCAAAGGTGTTTTTATTTTATACAGAAATAAATAATCTATCATTCAGATGAGAATAAAGTTAGTGTTAGTTCAAATTTTAAGGAAAACAAATATATGATCTGAAATATAGCACATTCATGTAAAATTCATTTAGGTTCGATTACCAAACATACAATCTTAATGTAATTTAAAGCAAACAATACATTTAAAATATATGGGTTGTATGACTATTTTTTAATATAAAAAGATATATATCCAAAAAGACAAGGTCTAAAGTTTAACAAGGGTTAAACTCTTATCACTGTAACAGACACAATCACACACACAATCACACACACACACACAAGTCAAATCACTTACATTTTAGATGCAATATTGACTTTTTTTCTGTTTCAGCAGCGAAAATAGTTAAACAAAGATCACAGCAGAACCATCGCGCATCTCACAGCAACGCGTTCTCATTACTGAATGATTCAGCATTTTGAACGAATCGGTTGACTCAAAGATTCAATGACCAATCAATCCATAAACATCTATCTCATAAGTGTTTACTTATATTTGTGAACAATCGCAATAAAACACAACATTGTGCATTTGTCAAACTGTAAACTACAACTGTCACCCAACCAAAATCTCTTTTTTATTTTATACAGAAATAAATAATCTATCATTCAGATGAGAATAAAGTTAGTGTTAGGTCAAATTTTAAGGAAAACTCTGAAATATAGCACATTCATTTAAAATTCATTCAGGTTCAATTACCAAACATACAAATCTTAATGTAATTTAAAGCAAACAATACATTTAAAATATATGGGTTGTATGCCTATTTTTTTTTATATAAAAAGATATATATCCAAAAAGTAACAGACACAATCATACACACACACACACACACACACACACACACGCACACACACACACACACACACACACACAAGTCAAATCACTTACATTTTATATGCAATATTGACTTTTTTCTGTTTCAGCAGTGAAACTAGTTAAACAAAGATCACAGCAGAACAATCGAGCATCTCACAGCAACGTGTTTTCTCATTACTGAATGATTCAGCATTTTGAACGAATCGGTTGACTCAAAGATTCAATGACCAATCCATAATCTATCTCATTCATGAATGACTCAGCCGTTCGAACGAATCGTTCGAACAAATGAATCAATGACTCGCTCATTAAGACGGTCGCCTGGCGACACCTAATGACGGCTTAGTGATATGTTTAAAAGTATCATTCTTTCAAACGATTGTTAATTAACTCATATTTGAAACATAAGCTATATATATATATATATACACACATATATACACACAAAAATAAAATAAAAACACATTTGAAGCGTGTTTGCTTACTAAATTGTGAGCAGAACGAAAGTTGCAGCAAATATCAGCAACAGGAGTCAAATTTCATTAATCACGAGAGTGAAGAGCTGACTGAAAAGATGATGACGGAATAGGCTATTTTATGTAAAAGCGCCTATTTAAGCGAATCTATCATTGTACTCTTTTGTTGTTGTGTTTTCCGTGAAAAATAATAGACTATTGAACTCACAATTCAAGCAATTGGCCCCCGATATTGCACTAATTTTAAAGTGACACTAAAAAGTATGCGGCTGCAGTGGCATTCATTACGGTGCGCGTCCATGGCGACGAGCGAGCAAAACAGAGCGAACGTTTTTTCATTTCTACTTCCATAGAAATTCATTCGAGCGCACTGTGAGCGCCACCACTATAAATGTCCTTACTTTACTTTCACTTTTAACTTAGCGATATAAAAGCCCCCGGTGTTACACGTCAAATAACCGGTGAGAAAAAATTCTCGGAGTCACATAGCAGCTACCTATATTTAAATACAACAGGCCTACCTGATTTTGAACACAAGAGGGCAGTATAGCCCTATCTATTATTTGATATATTTATTTTTTAACTGAATAGTGCATCCTGGCTGTTTTTAAACTTGTACATTATTCTTAAATTGAAAACAAGAATAAAATGGGTTTAGTTCTGATATTTGTATAATTTTATCTAGAAATAAATGGTGTATAATTAAATTTTTAGAAGATATGAGGCTTTTAGTGTTTTTTTTTTTTTACATGACTTTAATCCCTCGCCATAGCAAAACAATTAGAGATATTCAATAGATATTCACAATTATGCTTCTTTAATGTATTTTCATCATGTTGAAAAAGTTTGGTGGGAATAAAATAAACCACTTAACACTAGAACTCCCAAGGCGGTCATTTTGACCGTTTTTGAATTTTACAGTGTAATAACTTTGTTAAAATAAAATCCATGTGGCTGAATGACTCTGACTTTTCCTAAATATGTGTATATTTTATTCTGACACTGTTATTTTATTAAAATCACAAAACACAAAACAGTTCTGAGTATTTCTACCTAGAATGGCCATGGCGGTCATTTTGACCGCACGCATTATAGATATCATAAGTCCGCTACATTTCCCGCCACTGTAACGAATGTCCCCGTAGCATAGCAACGATTTGTCTTTTTTTGTTTACGCTATTCCAACGCTATAAATATTATACATTTACGCTATAAATATTATACATTTGAGCTAACAAAATATCATCGAAAAGAACAATGACAGCCACAGAGATTTTAGCCATGCTTAGAATGCTTGACGATGAGGAGTCTGATGGAGGAGCAGGTAACGTTACGGATAGGGACAGCGATGTCTCTTGGTCCCTAGACAGTTCATCCAGCGCTGAGAGTGATTCAGATAATGAATTCATTCCCCGTCGAAAAAAGAGCCGGCTGGACATCTCCGATCCTGGAACTGACCTTGTTCCATCGGATAATATTCCAGGTATGTTTCTCTTCTTCTCTAGCTATATTTTTATACTTTGCGAGGCAGACTAGCTCAATAATAGTTGTAACGTAACTTCAAAGTAAAGTTAACCATCTCTATCTAATGTAGGCTATAACTTTACCGATCAGATCGGTTATCATATTAACTTATTTTTCCTCTCACACACCCACCGCTGTTACCGACGCAAACACGCAACTTTCCTGATGACCGATCCATTCATTCAGATTTTTACGTCAGGCACACACACCTTTTCATTTTTATTATTCTATTGCTATTATTAGTAGCCTATAATACTATATTGTCAGGCTATTAGAAATCATATCAGGTGTGAAACGGCGAAAGACGGCACAGTGTGGACCTATGTAGATTTGGGTGAAGACAGAGGAAGGCGACAATGCCAAAATGTAATAACTGAAGCGGCAGGCCCCACAGCGCACGCCAAGCGCAATATTGAAGATGCCCTTACAGCCTTTTTGTGTTTGGTGGATGATGGCATGCTGAAACACATCAGGGACTGCACTGTGGCTGAGGCCCATCGAGTCAAGGAGGACAACCTATGGGACATGACAATTGAAGAGCTAAAAGCCTTCATTAGTTTAATTTACATTCGTGGCGCGCAAGGTGGAAAAGGGATGGATTTGGCGACCTTTTGGTCAGCCGAGTGGGGCTGCGCTTTTTTCAAGGAGACCATGTCCCGAAACAGCTTTCAGGAAATAATGCGATTCCTTCGTTTCGACAAAAGGGAAACCCGACGCACACGCTTGCGAGACAACAAGTTTGCCCTTATGAGTGATGTTTGGGATAAATTTGTCCAAAACTGCATCGCCTGCTACAAGCCTGGTGCCGACATCACTGTGGATGAGCAGCTATTCCCTACAAAATCAAGGTGCAGTTTCATACAGTATATTGCAAACAAACCGGACAAATTCGGAATCAAATTCTGGCTTGCTGCGGATGTCGACACCAAATATATGGTAAACGGTGCACCTTATCTGGGCAAAGACGAGACGAGGAGGCCAGGTCAACGACTTGCAGACAGTGTGGTGCTGAAAATGGTCGACCCATACCTGGGGAAGGGAAGAAATGTGACCACCGACAATTTTTTTACTTCTTTTGAATTGGCAAAGGCACTTCAGGCCAAGAAAACCAGCTTGGTTGGCACGGTAAACAAGAGCAGACGAGAGCTCCCCCCGTGCGTAAAGGCGCAAAAGCCGCTGTTCAGCACAGAGGTGCTGAAAAGTGGCGATGCAACACTGACCGTGTATCAGGGCAAAAAAAAAAAGAATGTCTGCATCCTCAGCACTGTCCACACAGCTGTTGGCATCACAAGTGGCCAGAAAAGAAAGCCAGAGACGGTAACATCCTACAACAAGACCAAGGTAGGAGTAGACGTTCTAGATCAAATGGCTAGAAAATATTCAGTAAAAGCACCCTCCCGTAGATGGCCAGTAGCTGTGTTCTATAACATCCTCGACCTGGCTGCAATCAACGCACACATATTGTACAATAAGTGCACAAATGAGCATGTTTCGCGGAGGGACTTCATCACGCGACTGGCGAGCGAACTTCGTTCCGACCACATGGGATCAAAAACCTCACAACTGGTGGTGCGAGAGCCAGGACCCGGGCAGGAGCAGCAGCAGATGGAGAGAAGGCGGCAGTGCCAAGTAAGGAGGAACTGCAAACAAAATAAAACCAAGGAGACATGTGCCAAATGTCGTAAAGTGGTGTGTGGGAGCTGCACACGAAAGGCGGTGTTTACCTGTGTGGACTGTGCGTAAGCGTCAGTGAATGATGCGGGGTGTTTGCGCCGTTCAAATGAGCTTTGAGGAAAACTTGTCAACCTGATTTTGTTCGTTAATTTTTTTGTTTTTGTTTTTTTTGTTTACTGAAACTAATCGTTCTAAATCAGTTCGTTTTTTTGTCTAGCTAATGTTCATGTTTTTTCTTAACCTGTTTTTGTGTACTGTATTGTGCTGCGTACTGTCCATGAAAGTTTTTACGGTGTAATCAAATGTATGTAGTGTTTTTGTTATTGTATATATGTTATAAGTTATTGTTTCATAAGATTTGTTTTTATTGTACAAAGAAAATAAGAAAATATTTATCAATTAGGCTGGAAAATAAATGTTCACATTCATTTGAATTTAAATGTTGTGTCCTGATCTTTATTATTACCTATCGTAACATTGTAAATCCATTTATTTTTAGATTTTGTATTGATTATTGAATGTATTTAGAAACAGGGCTGTACTAAACGGCATGAAGCTTTGACGTTTCCTAACTTTTTGCATGTCTATTCACGTGGTAAGTGCGGGGAATTTTTTTTTTTTTGACGCAAAACTTTCCTCACATAGAGGCAGCACCTGTCGGGCCAATGTTTGTTTTAAGCGGTTTTAATGGTGATGACGTCATAACATGACGACAGGAATTAAACGTTTCATCGGAAAACTTAAAAAGAAGGTTCAAATGTAGTTGTGGCATGACGAAAATGACGTTCAGTACGGCAATATGAACGTCAAAGTATGAGCGGTCAGAATGACCGCTATGGTCGTTCTAATAGTTATAGAATTCCGGTAGTTCTAGTGTTAAGAGGAGTGGGTAAAAATGTAGAGCCTGGTTTTGCAAAACATCCACATTAAGACCAAAATAGCCCACTTCCTGTTGGGCTGGCTTAAAGTTGTTTGGCCCGATGAGATCTATATGTGTACAGAGTTTCATAATATTACATGCAAGTGTGTTTGATTTATGGACCAAATTTTCTGACCAAGTTAATTTAATTAATAAACTAATTATATAAAACTATTTTCAATGCACTACAATTCAACTGGTTATATGCCTTTACTTATTAATACAACTTATTTAAAAAATACAAGGCGTAAGACATTTTTTTTTCTTTTTTAATGCAGGCCAAACCACACAGCAGTCAAATGGTTAATCTAGCCCCCCTCCCCCTCCCCACACTCACAGACACACACACACACACATAGACGTAGGCTCAGAGAGAGAGAGACATAAAATGACAATTTTCAAACCAAAATATCTGACTTCCTGTTGGTTGGAGCTATTGAGTGTAAATTAGAAAGTTGTCTGGCTGGAGGAGAACAATACACATACCGATTTTTATTACTGTAGATAAAATCAATCCCCCCACTTTTGACAAAAGGTGGCGCTACTGAGCCCCTCACCACGCCCGTTTCTGAAACTCTGCACATGTCTACTGTCTAATAAATGTGATGTGTCTGTCGGGTTTCATGCAATTTCAAGTATGTTAAGAGTCTCAAAAGCATCAACAAAGAATAATAAAGTTTGATGCGTTGCCACGGCAACAGTATCTAAGATATCAATAATCCTTTCTCAGGTCTACATCTGCCGTGTGTCTACATTATACACATAAAGTTTGAAGCAAATTGGGTAAAAATAAGAGGGTGATTTCAAAGCCTTTAGGAAGTGACACACTTCCTGCTGCCAGTTGGTGGCGCTATAACTTTGACTCACAATAGTCACATCCATGTGATCGGACTCTTACAGCGAACACACTGCTGAAGTTTCATCAAGATCAGTTAATGTATGCAGAAGTTATAACACACTTCCTGTTTCCTTTATTCGCCATAAATTCGTTTCCTCGCCACGGCCAAACCGTTCGAGATATCAAAAATCCCCTGGCAACTTTTCATCCTCAATGTCTTGACTTCATGCTGACCGAGTTTCGTGGCGATTGGTTGAATTCTCTAGGAGGAGTATATCGAATTCCAGGGGCATACGCTTCCAAACAAACCATAATAGCCGACTTCCTGTTGGGCTGGGGTAAAAAGTAAAAGTACAAAGGATATATGAATCGATGAGATCTATATGTGTACCGAGTTTCATATTATTACATTCAAGCGTGTTTGATTTATGGACCAAGTTTTCGGACCCTGTTCCAGGGGGCGCTGTCGAGCCCCCCTGCCACGCCCGGGTACCAGCTTCAGCCCGGCCCTGATGGCCGCGGGTTCTGACCCGTGTGCAAAGTTTCAAGAGTTTTTGAGCATGTTAAGGGCCCCAAAAGTGCGCTGAGAGTCTCAAAAGTATCCAAAAAGAATATTAAAGTTTGATGCGTTGTCACGGCAACAGCATCTAAGATATCAACAATCCTTTCACAGGTCTACATCTGGCGTGTGTCTACATTATACACATCAAGTTTGAAGCAAATCGGGTAAAGCCTGTTTGATTTATGGACCAAGTTTTCGGACCCCGTTCCAGGGGGCGCTGTCGAGCCCCCCTGCCACGCCCGGGTACCAGCTTCAGCCCGGCCCTGATGGCCGCGGTTTCTGACCCGTGTGCAAAGTTTCAAGAGTTTTTGAGCATGTTAAGGGCCCCAAAAGTGCGCTAAGAATCTCAAAAGTATCCAAAAAGAATATTAAAGTTTGATGCGTTGTCACGGCAACAGCATCTAAGATATCAACAATCCTTTCACAGGTCTACATCTGGCTTGTGTCTACATTATACACATCAAGTTTGAAGCAAATAGGGTAAAGCGTGTTGGATATATGGACCAAATTGTCTGACCCGTTCAAGGGGGCGCTGTCGAGCCCCCCTGCCACGCCCGGGTACCAGCTTCAGCCTGGCCCTGATGGCCTCGGGTTTTGTCCCGTGTGCAAAGTTTCAAGAGTTTTCGAGCACGTTAAGAACCCCAAAAGTGCCCGAAAGCATAAAAAAGCATGAAAAAGCTTAAAAAAAGGAATATTAATGTTTGATGCATTGCCATGGCAACAGTATCTAAGATATCAATAATCCTTTCACAGGTCTACATCTGGCGTGTGTCTACATTATGCACATGAAGTTTGAAGCAAATCGGGTAAAAATAAGAGGGTGATTTAAAAGCATTTTGAAAGTGACACACTTCCTGCTGCCAGTTGGTGGCGCTATAACTTTGACTCACAATAGTCACATCCATGTGATCGGGCTCTTACAACGAACACACTGCTGAAGTTTCATCAAGATTAGTTAATGTATGCAGTAGTTATAACACACTTCCTGTTTCACGTTTCTCGCCATAATTTCGTTTACTCGCCACGGCCAAACCGTTCGAGATATCAAAAATCCCCTGGCAATTTTTCATCCTCAGTGTCTTGACTTCATGCTGACCGAGTTTCGTGCCGTGTGTTTGAATTCTCTAGGAGGAGTATTTCACATTCCATTGCATGTGTTTTCCAAACAACCCTTAATAGCTGACTTCCTGTTGGGCTGGGGTAAAAAGTAAGAGCATGAAGTATATATGAACCGATGAGATCTATATGTGTACTGAGTTTCATATTATTACATGCAAGCGTGTTTGATTTATGGACCAAGTGTTCAAACCCCGTTCCAGGGGGCGCTGTCGAGCCCCCCTGCCACGCCCGGGTACCAGCTTCAGCCCGGCCCTGATGGCCGCGGGTTCTGAGATGTGTGCAAAGTTTCAAGAGTTTTCGAGCACGTTAAGGCCCCCAAAAGTGCCCAAAAGGTAGTAAAATAATAATAATAATAATAAAATATAGCTGCGAGCAGCGATTACGGGCCCAAGCCGGTGGCACCGCAACACCGGTGCCTTTAGTTACCTAAAGGCACCGGAGTGGCGGTGCCGCCGGCTTTGGCCCTTCATCGCTGCTCGCAGCTATATTTATATATATATATATATATATATATATATATATATATATATAAACAAGCCGGTGGCACCGCCACCCCGGTGCCTTTATATATATATATATATATATATAAACAAGCCGGTGGCACCGCCACCCCGGTGCCTTTAGGGTTACTGTGCATGACGGGCAATATCGTAACTCCGCTTTGACCTTTGAGATGTGTGCTGTAAAGCTTGCATTGGTGTGGGCTCTGCAAAAGTGTGCATTGAGGGCACATATCAACCACAAAGTATGCGTGAGCAACCTTCTGAAACCTAAAATGAAAAATGAGACACCCTACGGTCTCATGGACTTAATGGACACATGAAATAAGTTATGAAAGTTAAATCAATTGTGCCAAGACAGAATATTACTTGCCTGATCTGATTAGAAAAAAAGTTTGTGTGTGTGTGTGTGTGTGTGTGTGTGTGTGTGTGTGTGTGTGTGTGTGAAACGTGATTGAACAATGTAGACATAAAAACATACTCCTTTTGTTCATACAGGACATTATTCAAACTGTAAAGTGTTTACTTATATTTGTGAACAATCGCAATAAAACACAACATTGTGCTTTTGTCAAACTGTAAACTACAACTGTCACCCAACCAAAATCTCTTTTTTATTTTATACAGAAATAAATAATCTATCATTCAGATGAGAATAAAGTTAGTGTTAGTTCAAATTTTAAGGAAAACTCTGAAATATAGCACATTCATTTAAAATTCATTCAGGTTCAATTACCAAACATACAAATCTTAATGTAATTTAAAGCAAACAATCGTTTAAAATATATGGGTTGTATGCCTATTTTTTTTATATAAAAAGATATATATCCAAAAAGACAAGGCCTAAACAATACATTTAAAATATATGGGTTGTATGCCTATTTTTTTTATATAAAAAGATATATATCCAAAAAGACAAGGCCTAAACTTTAACAAGGGTTAAACAATCACTGTAACAGACACAATCATACACACACACACACACACACACACAGACACAGACACACACACAAGTCAAATCACTTACATTTTATATGCAATATTGACTTTTTTCTGTTTCAGCACCCGCTCATTAAGACGGTCGCCTGGCGACACCTAGTGACGGTTTAGTGTTATTTGATTATACACTCA